CTCTCTCTCATTCTCTCTCTCTCAAATAAATAAATAAAATCTTTAAATAAATAAATAAATAAACCCTTTACAACAATTTTACTCTTTTATAACTAGAAATTGTAATCAGAAAGTCATTATCCCTGCTTTAAACTACAGAAAGGGTAGTAGTCGGGGATGTTTCCTAATGTCATGAAAACATTCTCAAAGTCCTGACTCAAAGGCCAGCCCAGGGTCACTGCTCAGTAATTGTTAATTCTCTCCTTTTTGAGACCCAGAGTACTAAAACCCAATCTCGATCCCAAATGAAAGGCCTTTGTAGCCTGTGGAATATTACAAAATTATCAGATTTAACTTTTTACCTTGAACTACACATTCATCGCTCATCCGCTACATTTCTCTGCCTTGTGCTTGTTCTCCAGAATTCTCCAGAATGTTTTCTTCTCCTGAATCCTCTTCTGGCTCCAGAACATCTTTACATTCTTTCATGGGTTTCAGGAAGAGCCTGTTGTTTTTTCTAGACATCTCGAAGACTTTTTTTTTTTGAGGAATTAGTTCTGTTGTTCCCAGCGTTCACATGGTGGTTTTAACTCTGCCAAAATACCTGTGTAGATTTTTAGGACTGACATTTTACACTGTGTGTATTCTGCCTCTCCTGGATCTCTCCTCAGCCCCTGAATAACGTTTGTTTCTCCCTTTTGAAAACTGTCTTCCTCCAGGTAAACACGACGCCGCTGAGAAAGCTGCCAGCCAGGCTGAAAAAGCTTAAGCTCAAAAAGGAAGCAAAAGCATTCACAATGAACGACCTGGAAGAGAAGATGCAGGCGGTGGAGAGGCGCAGGAAGGTACCCGAGCTCTCGCCTGAGCAGGTTGCCTGCTGAAATGCACTCACATAGGCCTTTCCTATCTGGTGCTTTGAGATTGGGATCAAGTATTTGAGTAAACTGTATGCTTCCTGTGCTGTATGTGTAATTTTCCTTGAATTCTCTTTGTGGGGTGCAGGGGTAAATCAACATCTTGAAGCTGGCTGAATGCCGGTTTCATCCATGTAGGCTCAGGAAGCAATGTTCCCTTCTGAGTATGGAGTCTTCTTCATAGGGAAGAAGAAAAGCTTCAGTTGGGGCGGGGATGGGAGGAGGCATTGTGGGGGAGGATGGAAGCTGAGGGGAGGCCGTGCAGACCATCAGAGGACACCTGGTCCCCATCACCCTCTGTCCCCCATCCCGTCAGAAGCAGCCTGCCCAGCTGTGGGCTGCCGACCTCTGTCTCCATCCTCCTACCTGGCCGCTCGAAGACCAAGGGCCACCCAGAAGCTGCAGGAGCGGAGGGAGTGTGTCTGTCCTCCACAGTAGTGCCTCAACCCGTGTTTGTGAAGTGACTGAATGATGAAATGGACAAGCCATATGGGTTCATTTCAGGCATAGGCATGATCAAGTTATTTGGCTCATTTTTCTTCTTTCATACTGCTTTTCAGACTAAAGAAGAAGACATAAGGAAAAGGCTGAGGAGCCACCGACTTTTGGCCAATCATCCGGATGCAGCGGAACCGGTTGGGGCTGAGGTTCCCTCTGCCAAAGGACTCGACACTGTGACCTCTGCCGAGTTTGAGCCCGCGCACCTGCAGGGAGCAAAGCCTCTGAAGAGGAAGAAGAACAATGCAACCTCTAATGAAAAAAACTTCAGTTACGAAGGACTTGGGGTGGTGGAGTCAGACTGGTCCTACAACCAAGCGGATGATGCATTTGAATAAAGCCACCTCACCCGAATTTCGTGAAAAGGTGCCCATTCTCCCTGGTTGTGACCATCTTAGTCTGTCGCGTGTTTTTCCTGGTGGCCTGATCTCCCCCCACTGGGACGCGCCGTGGGTGGGGGAATGATTATGTAAGTGGCAGGGCTGATCTGAGTAAATGGAATGCCGCTGCTAGCGAAAGGGAAAAAAACCAAGAAGATTTGACTAGCTTCCAGATGATAGAGTTGGCATTCTCCTCCAGTGTGACTTCAAACATCGTGAAGATGTCTTTATGGATCCTTCCCAGCTTACATCAATGTGCCAGATGCAGCCCTTCTTTTTGGCTCCGGGCCCTTGGCTGTGCCCATCCTCTGAGGGTCCCTTCAGACGAAGTGCACGGATGTGAATTATGTATTTAAATGAGCTGTAGGCTTCTTATTACCTGTATGTTTAGTTATTTCTTTTTAACTCTCTTTGTGTGGTGAAGGATTAAAGCCATATCTTGAAGCTGGTTGAATTATAGTTTCATCCATATTAGCTTTAAGCAAGCTATATCCAATTCTTAAGAACTACATATGAAAAAAGAAAAACTTCTGTTGGGTCTAGGGGCTAGGAGGATGTCCAGGAGGGGGTGAGCTGGGAGGACACTCTAAAGTCAGTGTCTTACTTCCCTGTGAGCACTCGGAGCTGAGTTTGCTGGCCCTTATCTTACCGGAATTACGCTTGGTTCTCCCCTCTGCTTTACCATCCACATCCAATCGTTGCCAAGGTTGGATGTGTCTCCATTCTGAAGATCTCCCCTCCTTTGTCACACGTTCCCCCCCCCCACACACACACCCAACTATCATTCAACAGGATCACAACTTCTGTTGATCTTCAGACCATAGTCCTCTGGTTAAAACCCTCTCTTGGCCTCCTTTTGTGGTCAAGATAAAGTCCAGACTCCTTTCTGCCACCGGTGAGGATCTGCCTCACACAACGTACCTGCACTGAACTTTTAGTTCTTAAACTCGGCACACTCTCCCTAGCCTCGGGGTCTCTGCACCTGCAGATCCCCCCTTCCCCTCTCTCCCTCCCGCTACGTGAGCTGCCTAATGCCCTCTTGTTGTTCGTGTCTCCACTCAGACCACTTCCTCCAAAGCTCCTGGTCTGGGTGGGTGCCCCTCCCTCATAGTGCCTTTTGACACACTGGCCCGCTCATCTCTGCACTTACCACCCTTGGTTGGAACTGCCCAATACGTTTGCAGCTCCCCCACTAGATATCTCAATATTAACAGGGCAAGAGACAAGGCTGTTTGTTTCCCCCTCGGGAAGTGAATGACGTAAGTGCTGTGTAAATATTTTGTTAGCAGATGAGTCGATGTACCCATACATCTTCCAGAAGCAGGAAAGCCCCAGAAGATGGGAACCACTAGCTGGGGGCAGTGCCAATTGGACTTGAGGACCACGGGGCACCTCCTGTTTAGGCATTCCCTTTGGGATATTGTGTTCCTATAGCCTATAGGACTGAGGACTCTTGCAGCCAATGAGGTATGATGTTGGAGGATGGGGTTTCTTTCAAAACTCATTGCAGAACAAAACCTTTCAGAAACTTTAAAAGTGTCCTTCATACAGTGCGACCTGGAGAGCCCTGGTGCAGGACTCCCCGGGTCTCCATTATCTTATATGTTAATTTGGAAATACCACTTTTATGAAGTCATACCAAATACTACTTTAAAAAGTACTACTTTTAATCCTCCATGACACAAAGAGAATTTTAAAAAAACTAAACATGCAGATAAGAAGCATATAGATCATTAAAATGGCATCTAGAATATGCCATAATATTATAGAATATTATTTATATAAAATCCCATGTGAGCAACATGATGTTTTCCACGTGTCCTGAGATTTTTTTCTGGAGATTATCTTGTGGTGACATGTGCTAATCTTATAAAATATCGAAGTAGCTAAAATGACTGCACTAGGCCACTTAGGAAAAGATTTGTCTATCATTCAGACCTCCGTAAATAATCAAATTTAAATGACCAAAACAGACATCAAATGCAAATGTATAGTAACTGTTGGAAATTAAATCCCCCAATTTGATAAATACTCCAATAATACTTTCTCTTGAACTTTCATGCTCCTGCTTATGTTATTTATAGTGACTTGGGGGACATGTCTGTTGAGTTAAAACACACACACTATAGATGTGGACATCATCACTGATACCCTGGCTTGGAAACCTCTCTACATATAGAGAGTCAAATATGCCCAGTCACACTCCCCGAATGACTAGCTGCGTATTTCCTTAGGAAGAAACACTTGAAAGGGTGGGAAGAGAGGCAAAGGAAGCAGACGTCTGGACCCAGAGAACAACTCTAAAGATCTAAGTATATTACTACTCACCAAAACAAGCGGAGGCTTTAGGGATAAGTTCAGAGGCTCTAAGCACCTCCCACCTTCGGAACCCAGGCATCCACCTTCAAACTCACGCACGATGCCCCCAGAGCTATCAACCCATCCCTGCAAAGCATTTTTTTAACTTCAAATGTAAATGGGACTTTTTCCATGATCTTTTTTTTTTTTAAAGAATGATTTATACTGAAGAGTAATAGAAAAGAAAGAGATTTCTAAAACACAGCCAAGGGGATCATGTTAATTTTAGGTGTTGAAATAACATACTTGGCTTTCTCATTCTTAAAACATAAAGTTTTAAACAACCACCAGGGTATTTCGACTCAAATCCAGCCACAACCTTCGGGACATCATGAGTCAGAAAGACAAGATTAGGTAAATGCCCCTCAAACCACTTTAACTGGGGGCAACGGAAAAATGCCCATATAGATTTCCTTGTGAGAGATGATCCAGTCCCGTCTAACAGAAGGTAACCTTGATATTTAGTAAATCCTCCAGGTTTTTTTTTGGGGGGGGGAATACTTACGGATAACATCTAAAATAATGTTTAAAAGGTATATTTAAAATATTTCACATATATTTAAAATAATACACTTTGTAAGATTCTTATGTTAGGTCAAAAGTAACTTCGCAATCACAGGAACAAAAATAGAATTTATCCTAGACTGTTTCTATAGTGATACCAGTAACTTATGACTGTGCCTATTTCTGTGTTTCTTATTCCTACCAGTAAACAGCTAGTATTTGAAGTAGTAATTATGCGGTAAATACTGCATTTTAAAGATGAGTGATGCTAAAGATCCGTGGATAGATCACTTTGCACTCACATAACCTGTAGATGCCACACCTTCTTGTAGGACGTCTCAGGTCAGGAAAGGGCATTAATTATTTTAAAATAAACTGTGGGAGAGGACAGTTATGGTCTCTCTGGGTCACTCGTATTTGCTTTTTAAAAATAATAGCTGCTTTTTTTTTTTTTTAGTTATGTAAGTAAGTTGGAGTAGCAAACACTGAAAAACATAAGAAGCAAAAAACACCAGGAATCCAACGTGTTTCCCTCTAGCTAAGATAACTGCTAGGAACATGTGTTTCCCTCTAGCTAAGATAACTGCTAGGGACATTTCGCCGGCTGTATCTCAACACTGTTTCCCTGCAAAAATGGACTCATGCTATAGAAACTCTTTTTGCAGCTTGCTTTTTTCACTCGACAACATGCCATTCCATGTATATAAATCTACTTGAGCACCATCATTCTTAATGATGTAACACTGTTTTGTTTTCTTATTACATATCTAAGGCTTCCCACAGCCAAAGACAGTCAGAATGCAGGTTCCATTTCTGTTTTTAAAAGGTTGATAAGTCAAATGACTTGAACATTTCCCCAGTGAACCCAGAACAGTCTGAACACCTGGGAGGGCAGAAGCTGCCTTGCTCACTTTCCTGGCACGCGCTTTCTGTTCCTCTGCCCTTCCATGCAGGATGGCCAGTGCAAGTAACCCAAGGTCAGATGCAACCAGCTTTGTAGACCCACCTGCAGACTCTGCTCCTGACTTCCTGTCATCACAGTTCCCGTTCAGCACATGGAGACCTCAAGCATGCTTCAAAAGCCCATGTGATAAAGAGAAAACAAGAGTGACAATTACATCTCATCTCTGAGGTGGCTTTTCATGGATCCGGAATAAAGGCGAGCCGCATTTGCAAAGTGTTTTTGCCAGAAAAGCCATTTGCAGGGAAGGGTCTGAAACCTTTTCTCTCCTCATTCAGAAACAAGAAATTACAGTCCTAAAAATAAAGCAATTGGCTATTTTGAGCGCAGAGTGCAATCATTCTAAACATCAGGGGCAGGAAAGCAGTAATTCAATTCCTAGTAATTTCTGGTAATTAATATATAAATTTCCTCTCTATGTAATACAAATCAGTCCCTGAAGTAAACACAATAGATCATCTAAAATGTACATGACAACAATTCATACCTTTTCCTTGCTTAACTTAAAATGAACAGCAATGCTCACTTGTTAAGTGGGAAAAGACGGCACAGAGAATTTTTATCAACTCCCCGGGTTGGACTGTGCCTGTGATTCTCAGAGGGTGACCCCCCCACCCCACCAGTAGAACCAGCCTCACCTGGAAATTTGTAATAAATGCTAGTTCTCAGCCTTCCACCCAGACCTTCTGTATCAGAAGGTGGCGCCCAGCGTTCTGGGTCTGCTCAAGCCTGCCAAGTAGTTCTGAGGCTCACCCAAGTCTGCACTGGGCTTCCGTTCACTTGTAGGCACACAGTGCATGCCCATGGAAGCTGCCCACTCAAGTCAAAGCCACTTTCCAGCAGGAACAAGGACCCCTGCCCCCGAGGCTTGCTTTAAATATTTACCAGTCAGTTATGTTTCTCCTAAAGCCTATTAATGCCATGTGTACTGGCTATTATATTTCATTTTTAACGGCTTCTGTATTTTAAATGTGGTCTGTAAGGGAATAGATAAGATGGTAAAAAAAAAATCTTCAGGGACGCCTGGGTGGTTCAGTCGGTTAAGCGTCTGCCTTCGGCTCAGGTCATGATCCCAGGGTCCTGGGATCGAGCCCCGCATCGGGCTCCCTGCTCTGCGGGGAGCCTGCTTCTCCCTCTGCCTCTGTCTCTCT